ATCATTTGCAGGCAGGATCTTGTGGGTTGTGCAGCTTCTGGGAGGACATGGGGGACCATGGCACAGGTGGCTTTTTATTTCTAAGGAACAAAGAACTTGGACGTGCAATATAGCCCTTCAAAGGCAGCCACTGGGGGGCTCTGACCCCTTTCCTGGGAGGCAGTGGCTCCTGGAATCCCTCCTGGACGCCTCTGGGCAGGGCCACCGCATGCTCCCTGCACCTGCCAAGGGCACAGGTGCAGAAGGCCACGGAGTTCCAATCTTGGCTCTGCCTCTCACAGATTGTGTGGCCTCCGATGAGTCACGGACCATTCCCAAGACTCAGTTTCCCTCTCTGTAAAGAGGTGCCACCAGCCATCCCTCCGTCACCTCTGCAGGATTGCAGTGCAAATGCGCAATGAAGAGTAAACCGGACGCACATAGTAGGTCTAACCAACATCTCCTCCCTCTCCTTCCCAACCAGCTGCCAAGCCCAGAAGGAAGGGGGCCTCCTCCTTGTTTTTGACTGAAAAATGGTACCCCCAGGCTTGGCACCCTGCCACGCTTCCGGGGCTTGGCAGTCGGTGCCTGGCGGCTCCTGGCAAACACAGCTCAGACCTGCCATTTATCAAATGCTGAGCAACTGGGCTCAGCCTCCACGTGTACTACCCTGTTTTATGTTAAAAGTTTAAAAAATTCAAACTGCTCTGGATGGAGGCAACCTTTCTCTGAGCGGATCGGTTGAGGGGACACAGGACCTGTCACCCGGCTCATCGATCAGAGCATGCAGCCCCAAGGACTCCCCAGAGCAGCGGGAACACTGTGGTCCACTGATGTCCCAGCAGGTCCCTCTGCTACAAGGACTGGCTGAAGCCTTGGCCCACATGGGGAGGAACCGATACCCCCAGTGGGACCCACAGACCTGCCGTCCAGAGTCCCCGGCTGGGGTGGCCCAGGAAGCTTTTCATCTCTCCCAGCATCTGATCCCAATGCCAGGCTGGGCTCTGCTTGGTGGTGGCTCCTTTGATGTTTTACAAGTGAGGGAAGGATTTTCCTCCCTGCCCAGGGAGCTCAGGTGGGGAGGGGGACACTTTCTCTCACAGCGAAGCCAATTAGCAGCATATCTAAGCCGTTGACCTCGCAAGCGCCTGGCACAGCGTGGTCACCGTGCACAAGGAGCTTTGGGCCACTCAGCTCGTGACGCGGGGAGCAGGCGGCTGCGCCGTGAATCCCATTGGGGGTGCAGAGCAGGATCGATCCTATTGCGGGTTCCTGCAGCAGGAGAGGCCAAGCTGGACCTGATTTCGGTGACCCTGGTAGTAATTATGCAAAGGCAGGGGAAGGCTTTGGCAATCGGGCCCAGTGGCAGCACCGTCGCAGGTGGATGTTGTTGGGGGCAAGGCCATGCCTCAACCTGCAGACAGGCGGGGAAGTGGGATGGGGGCCTGTCTGTTGATGCCGAGCTGGACCCTCCTTCTGATCACCCCAAACCCACACCAGACTCTGGGCATGGCCAGCCGATTCCCCAGACCCCAGGAGGTGGCCACATATGACACATGAGCCATACTGGTGGCTGGATGAGGAAGGGGCCCCGAGAGGGGATGTGACCTCCCCGTCTCACACGGCCGCGGGGATGTGAGCTGGAAGCAGCCAGTTTGCTACACGTGGCACCTTCCAATTGAGGAAATCTAGCCTCTGCTCAGAGGAGGGAGCCAGGTCCCTCTGTCCACAGGGAATCCCCAAGACTGGACCCCTGACCACTGCCCCCCCAGAGGAAGAGCCTGCCAAGGAGTCTGACCCTCTCCCCACATAAATGGTGCTCTGTTAGCCTCATTTAGCAAATGAAAACCTGAGGGTCAGTGAGGTGAAGTGTCACTGCCAAAAGTGCCAGCAGTCACTCACGTGACATGACATGGACAGGTAACCGCGGATTCACACCTGTACAAAGGAGGAGCCTGATGGGTGGACCCAGTGGTCAGAGGGGCCTCCCAAGGGACACAGCAGGCAAGCTGGGCCCCTCACCCAGTCACAGGCCAGCACAAGGTGGTCCTTCCTTCCTGGGAGTGAGTGCACGTGTCAAATTCAGGAGTGGTCTTGACAACTGGCCTGACCCTACATGGCCTGGGCTGCTGTGGGCTTTGGTGAGCATGGAGAGAAGGCTTGGGTTCAGCCAGCACCAGTGGCCACATCAGCCAAAAGGCCAGTTGCAGGCGTGTGTCCATCTGCCACTGTGGCCTCCCCCACCCGAGGAGCCACATGTGGCCTCTTCCCTACCTGGCCTCTTCAGGACCCACAGAATTCACACTCCCCAAACTACTCCTCCACTGCTGCCGTGCCCTTGGCCCCAAGTCTCTGGGTCACTCCCCACCTGGGGAAATCCTGAGGTTGGCAGAAGCCCAATCAGTCTTCAGGACAAAGCTCACCTCCTAATGTGCCCGCACGACCACACTTGACCCAGCCCCTGCCCACCTCCCTCCTCTTGTTCCTGGCCCCTCAAGCCCCACACACCAGCAGAGCAGAACCCCTGGGGTCCCAGACCAAGCCCTGCCACCTCCGTGCAGACCTCTGCACGTGTGTTCCCTTTGCCTGGAACACTGTTCTCGCCTCATCCCCCAGTGCCTGGATCTCCAGGTCCAGAAGCTTCTTCTGGCTGCCCCAGGTCAGGTTAGTGGCTCTCCTCTGGGCTCCCTCATGCCCTCCAGCCCTCCAGCCCTCACACAAGTCAGCTGATTTGCCAGCTCCCCACCAGGCCAGGAGCTTGCTGTTGGATCCTCCTCTGGCCTATGGTTGGTACTCAGTGTTTGAATAATTGAGGACCACCGTGTGACAGCCAGCTCCACAGCCGTGTATGAGGCTGGGACTCAGGAAGTCTGGGCGCTGCCCCTGGAGGGTTGCTCATTTGCTAGGTGGCCTTGGATGCATCTCTTCCTTCTTTGAGGCTGCTCTGCCGGCCTCTGGGGTTGGAGGGGTGCCAGGCAGGGCCATGGTATATAAGCTGCAAAGTGCCCTGTAAGCAGACAGGGCCGCTGGGCCCCATCCTTGCCCTGTCTGGTCTCGCCAGGAAGCCAGCTCTGGCTGGAGTGTCCAACCCCAGGTGCCCCGTCCACCAGGGAGAGCCATCCGGCGTCAGCACTTGAGGCCTGGCAGTTCAGACACAGAGCCTAACAAGGATGGATGGTACCAGGGTTCAGAGAGGCGGCAGTGGGCTCTTTCCCAAACAACAATTGAGTTTCCGAGAGATTCCGTGTGGCAGGGAGGTGATCCTGACAGATGCCCAGAGGTATCTGGGAAAAGATTGCTTTTGACGGAAGTCCAAATGGATATTAACATTTATCGGCCTCGCAAACACTTCTCAGCCGAGAGCGGCCTTCCTCCCAGACCCCTGATCCAGGTATCTGAGCAGGAGGGCTGTAGGCGGGCAGGGGTGTGGGATCTGGCGTTCCTCCTCGACTCCCCCGTAATGGCCCTTGAAGCCCAGGCCCTGGGTATTACCCGCCGCCCGGCTCAAATCCTGATTGACTTCCCGGGAGACTGGCTCCAAGTCCCCCTGAGTGGAAGATGCAGAGCCCGGGCTGGCGCCTTGGTCTTTCATTAAGTCTGTCCTAACCCTTAACTCTGATTTCTGGGTTTTGACTGCTACGCTGGCGCTGCTCTGCTTGCCGAGGGGTTCCCAGAGGCGAATGCTATAACTCAGATGTTCTGAGTTAGGAAAACAAAAGAGCTTTTAGTCCCCAGATGCGGATCCAGTACAGTTAAATGCTCTCCTCTGGAGCTTGAAAAGACATTTGGAGGTTTGTCTGTCCCGGGGTCTTCGGGGATTCACAGCTGCTCTCACACCAGCTCAGCCCTCTGGATGCGCTCACCTTGCCCCCCACTCTGGCCCACCTGCCTCAGTCGGGCCTCCCCCTGCCCCAGTCTGGCCCCCTGAGCAGGGGCACGGACCCCTTTCGAAGCTGATGCAGGCTGCCGCACTCCCAGGGTCCCAGAGAAGCTTCACCCTCCCCTCTGCTGGGACATCTGCACCCCAAAATTCACACCAAGCTCCTTGGTGAGAAATGGAGGCATCCTATCGGCCTCTCCTCATGCTCTGAGTGCCAAGGACAGAGACCTGGGGGCCCAGGAGGGCACTCCTGGAAAACAGCTGACCTCATGCCCTGCTTTGGGTCCCCAGGGCCATGCCCTGGACTCCAGTGGATGCCCTCTTGGCAAAGAGCTCAATAAGGGGCGGGGTCACACACATCTTGGTCATTGTTGGGTGGCCAGTACCTTGTACAGGGGACCGGGGCCTCTCCCCACCACTCCCAGCTCTGGAGAGATGTCAGGGCCACCTGTAGCCACTCCACCGGGCCTTCCACTGGCCGTGAGGACATCTCATCTCTCCTGCTTCCCACCCAGGCAGGAACAAAAGGTGCAGGAAGTCACACTGGGGATGAGGCGAGAACAATGTTCCAGGTAAAGGGAACATACATGCAGAAGTCTGTAGGAAGGTGGATCCTTGCTGAGAAGCCACTGGGGTCTCTGCTCCCTGCAGGTGCGTCCCCCCATTCCCCCTCTCATATCCTGCACACCTGTCATATATTGGATAACTTGAAAGACAGCATCTACACATGTCGTGTGCTTGCAACAGCAAGAGGTTCCCAGTGCTGCGTTCCATCACAGCCCATCCCCGACTTGCCCGGTTCCCCCCGGGAACTGCTGTGTTCCCAGAGGCTCAAGGCTCAGGGGACAGGAGGTGGCTCCATGGGCAGGGGACAGGGTCTAACATCTGCTCCCCTGAGGGCCCCAAGGCTCAGCTCACAGCCTCTGCTTGCCCTGCGAGATTTCTGAGGGTGTAGAGTTCTTGGGTGCGATTAGGGGCAGGTAGGTGGGGGCCAGAAGCGGGCCTGGCTGAGGGCAGAAGGCTGGGTGAGCGGCTGCTCAGAGCACCCCGGCTCACATGTGCCACCCCCCTGGGCCCTCCTGGGTCGCCCAGGCATCTGCAGGGCCAAGAGGGAGCTGGCCACACCACCCGGGAGACTCACCGTCCAGCCCCCGCCGTCTGTGCGCATGTCACAGTAGACCTGGAAGCCCGCAGGGTAGTGCGTGGGGAAGACTGAATAAATGCCATCCTCCTGCTGTCCGCTCAGGAGCACGTCCAGACAGTCACGCGGCGGAGAGCCTAAGACGGAGAACGCTGTCAAGCCTGTGCCTGGCACCTGTGTGCCCGCCCATCCCCCTCTGCCCTGGGTCTCCCTGATTTGTCTGTCTACCTTGCAGTGTCACATGAGCTCCAGGGCACCAGCCTGGGGAGCAGACCTTGGCTCTGCCTCTCCCTGGGGGAGTGAGCACCCTCTGGGGCCTTGCTTTCCTCATCTGGAAAATGGGCATAGTGGGCTGGGAGAGGGGTCAACAGAAGGGGCAGGTAGGTGCTCAGTGCTGCAGCAGGAAGTCCTCAGCAAACAGCAGCAGTGAGTCCTCATCAGAGGGCTGGGTGACGGGTGATGGGGGTACAAAGCTGGGCACCCACGGCCCCCAAGAAAGGCAGCCTCCACCCCACTCACCACTGGTGCAGCCCCGTGGCCGCAATCCCCTGGCAGGTGCCCTCTGGAGGTCAGCTTTGACGCGGGGCCGGCCAACCCCCCGGTCCCTCTGCAGGGCATCGAGGACATCACTGACCGAGTTCACCAGGTGAGCCATGTGGCCTTGACTCTCGGAGAGAAGCTGTGGAGCAGCGGGGTGGGTCGAAGGGGCAGGAGGCTTCGTCCTTGTACGATGGCAGCCCCTGCCCTGCTCTGGCCCCATCCCAGGTGGTCAGTGTCTGTGTATTCAGAGGATGGGGGCTCTGTCCTCATCCCCCAGGCCCTGTCCTCATCCATTTCTGAGCCTCTAGACTGGGGGAGGTGACTGCAGAGAGCTCTGCTGGGCAGGCGGATTCGGCACTGGGCAAAGCTGGGTTCAAATCCCAACTCACCTGTTTACCAGTTACACAATGGGGTGAGTGACTTAACAGAGCCTGGGAGCAGGACTCCCTGTCACAATTGTCACAGAGACTGGTGACAATGTGCAAGAAGGAGCCAGCTCAGCTGGGGCCCACAGTGGGACCCACAGGATCAGGCCCACCTCGTTATGTGAATTTGTAAGGCACCTTCTAGATTACAACAGACCTCACCTGACGTCTCTCCTGATGCCCAGCAAGGCCGCGAAGGCAGGGGTGACGGTTCTGCATGCAGATGGGGGCCTTGGAAATACTCCCATCCAGCCCCCACCCAAACTCCACGGCTCCGATGTCCACCTCATCTCACACACCCCCAGCACTGTCAGGAGGGAGGCTTGGGTTGCTGTCTCCTTGGTACAGATGGGGAAACAGCTCCAGAAGGAGACATCTCTGATTGAGAACGACCTCAGGTCACCTCCCCAGGGTTGGCTGGTGGGAGAGGAACCTAGGACTGCATCATTGTGCCGGGGCAGGGGGCGGGGGAAGGACAAGTGGGGGGCAGTGGTCTGGACTCATTCTGGGCTTTGGTTCAGCCCCTCCTCCATTCACTGGACAAGTGACCCTGGAAGAGCGACTGAACCACCTGTGAACAAGAGTAACAGGATCTGTGTTTCCGGGGTGGTTCATGAGAGCATGTGTTGGGGGTCTACGCGCCTAGCCCACCTTCCCCACCCGGGTCATTACCACTGCTCACCACCAGCTACCCTTCTTGGGATCTGGGTCCGGAGGTTTGTTGCTCGGCCAGCACGGCACTGACCTGCAGCAGTCAGTGCTGCACCTGCTGCCTAGAAGGTCTGGGGCCCACCAGCTCCCCACCCAGGAATCTAGGAGGCTGCAGGACCACGAGGAGGGGAGGGGGGTCCCGGGCCCACTACAGCCGGCCAGCCATCCAGCCAGTGCATGCAGAGCCTGCTGCCACGTCCTTACACGCTGAACCTGTCACTTGTCTGATAATAGTTCGTTCCAGGAAGGAAAATACAAATAAATGGTGCCAGTGGTTTGCAAAATTCGGCTTGTCCAGAAGCAAGGGCCCCGCAAAGCTTGTAGTCAGTTCCTCTTCGGCAGTGAGGGCTGAGGCCTGGGAAGAGGCACTGAGGTGGGCAGGGGGGATGCGGGGCCAAGGTGGCCCACCCTCCCTAGGCTTTCACTGCAGTGTCCTGTACACAGGCTCTGTCAGGGGAGCCCTGTGGACCAGATGGTCGCAGGCAGGCCCCGGGGGGGCAGGGGCCATCTGCAGGGTGTGGGTGGCCGAGATCACCAGGCTCACTGGCTAAGTCTCTAGGGCACTGCCCATCCTTCTGCGACAAGCGGACACACTTGAGAAACTCAGGCACAGCCTGCTCTTGCTGGCGGGCAGGGAAGACCTCAGTTTAAACCAGCAAATGATTAAAGTTGAAAATGTACATATAAACATGCTCTGAATTAATAGGGAAAGTCAGTCCCTGCTCGCTGAGCTGCACAGATGCATTAAAGAGGACGTGGCATTTTTTTTAGTGGCGGGGAATTCAGAGCTGCTTCTGGCACTTCCTGGTCGTGTGACTAAGTTTAACCAGGGCACTCCCCTACTCTGAGCCTCAGTCTGCCCCTCCACAGAATGGGGCAATCATCTCCACCTCCTGGGGCCACTATGCTACCAAGTGCTTATTACCCAGCATCCGGCGGTTCCCTGCACTACTCTTGCAAAAGGGATTTTCAGTGGTGGCCTCCCCATTGGCCGAATCTTGAGTTCACAAATCGTTTCCACCATCATAATAAAAGAAATGCTGGACAAATGTGCCAGACGCCAGCTGAGCCCAGCACGGCCAGGAGCTCCCACGCCCTCTTGGGTACGGACTCTGTCAGCCCCATTTTGCAGGTGAGGAGACTCAGCCCAGGAAGGGCAACCCACATGCCCAAGTCCAATAGCTGCTACTTCGTGGAGTCTGGACTGGATCCCAGCACTGCCCCCTGAACCCTGAAGGCAGAGCCACTCAGCCCTGCTGCTCCCAGGCCAGCGCGCCTTAGATGTCTGTACACGTGAGGGCCACGCTGATGCTTGTTCAACTGTGGGGTGCCGGGGGTTTACGATGAGGTTCAGAGAGGTGCCTTTTAGCAAGCAGCTCTGGCACTCCTGACAGAGGGTGCCTGTGGGCAGTGCTTTGGGAAACCCAGGTCTGGACTGGTCACCTGGGGGTCTGGGAAACCTGGAGGAGTCAGGAGCCACAGCAACCCAGCTCTGCAAGACACATGGCCTCTGAAATCACCCTGAGTCTGCAGGAAACAAGTCAAATTAAACATTCTTTTGAGAAGTAAATATATCAGGTGAGCCGAGGTACTACGGCACCCCTAAAAAGCTATTGGTCTTGTAGGAACAGGTCTAGGCCTCTGCATAGATGGGTGGGTAGGAGACCTCGAGGGCCCTCCCCACGATTCTCCACCCCTGCCCTAAGGGCCTGGCTGACCCCATGTCTGACCAGGGGCTGAACCACTGGAGAGCAAGGTGGGGGCCCCAGGTCACCCAGAAAATCTGGAGGTCTCCTCTGAGCCCTGCTGATAGAAGGGGCAGCCGAACTCCCCTACCCCCACCCCACCCCAGGAGGGGGAAGCGCCTTCTCATCAGTCACCCAGACAGGATGACAAGGGTTATAATTTCTCCAGCTGCAGTCTTCAGAGGAGGGGAGAGACCCATTGCTCATGAGCTGCTGGGTGACCAAATGCCTGGTCATCCCCAGTGTCCAGGAAGGTCTGGGACCAATGGCAGGGTGGGTCTCAGCTCCTGGTGCCTAAGTACCTGAGTCATAGGGGCGATAGGGTCCAAAGCCGAGGGTGGGCAGGGCACTGGAAGGCCAGATGCCAGGCTTAACCTGGCCACTGTACCCTGGACAAATCATTGTCCCTTCTTGGCCTCCATGTTCTGTTCTGGAAAATGGTGGAAAACCAAAGAGATGATCCTAAATCCCTGGTTGTACGTGGTGGGAAGCTCTTGCTGCTGCTCCTTGAGTGGTTGATGTTGGAAACTCTTCCCCCAGACCTAACAGGTGCTTGCTAGGACCTGCATTGGCTCAGAAGAGGGGAGACGATGAGGGGGATGGGCGGAGGCGGTGGGAGAGGCTAAGAGTCTGGTTGGGCTCCCTCAGCTGGTCCCTCCTTCCCTAGAAAGCTGAGAGCATCAAATGGCAGAGAACGGGTGACAGGGAGCTGGGGAGGGAGTACAGTTCTCCCTGGCCATTTGGCACAGCAGGGGAGAGGGCTTGCCCAGGACTAGACACGTGACCTTAAACCTTAAGTCACTACAGATGGAGGCCAGGTCCTGCCTCACCTGCACTGGCGCACCTGGGAAGCCCCTCGAGCCCTGGACTTGACCTGACTGTGGGATGCTATGGGGTGCTAATGCAAGTACCCAGGTCCCCAGGGTCCCCGGGACAGTGGGTTGGAAATTATTTGAATCCTGGTGTCTCTGGCTGTGTGGCCTCGGATGAGAAACTCGCTTCTCCGAGGCTCATTTACTTGATGGTAGATGGGAACAGTGACACCACCTGGTTCTGGGGCCCTCGGGGATTGAGCGAAGCCATGAACATCAGGTGCCCCCCAGCCCCCACCAAGACCCCAGGTGCAGCCGCAGCCCCTTACCTGGATGAGGCGGCCCTGCTCACTCTGCAGGGCGCCGAGCCCCTGGCCCAGGGCACCGAGGCCCTTGCGCAGCCCTGCGCACTCCGCCTGCAACTCTGAGGCCCGGGCCAGCAGCCGGGGCAGCTGGTCCACCAGGGTGTCCAGCAGCTCCCGCTCCTGCTCGCCTGCCAGCCTCGGTTCGGCCCGGTGCTCGGCCAGCGCCTGCAGCACGGAGGCCTGCGCGCCCTCCAGGCGGGCAAAGCCGTCGGCGAGGTCGGGGCAGCGAGGGTCAATGAGGATGCTGAGGCGTGAGCTGTCAGCCCTCTCCACGGTGACCAGGGCGCTGTTGGCACCTGCCGGCCCGGTGCTGACGACAGGCGGGGCCGCCGTGCCAGGCGCGTGGGCGTGGTTCAGGAAGAGCACGGCACCGGTGACAGCCACAGCCAGCAGCACAGCCAGGGACAGCAGCACTGTGCACAGCACGTAGCCGCAGCTGGTCCACTGCGGGGAGGCCCCGTGCGCACACAGACACAGACAGACAGACGGACAGGACAGAGGAGGGGCGGCATTAGGGCAGAACTGTGCTTCCAGCTCTGCCCAGTGAGGGCAGCCCAGGCGGCTTTTGAGAAGCCTGGGCGAGACTCAGGGGACTCCCTTCTTGGGGCCTGGGGAAACGGAGTCATACAGAGAGGCAGAGATGAGAGACAGCAGCCCAGAGGGGAGACCGAGAGCTCAGGACCAATGAGAAAGCAAGAACGAGTGAGTGAGAGGTGCCAGCAGCCCGAGATGGAGAGGAAAAGAGAAACTAAGGCAGGCACACCTCCCCAAGGCAGCCCTCCTGGGTGGCTCAAGACTGCAGGTGAAGGCTCCCACGGCCTCAGGCCCCCTTGCTGCCATTTCCAGAGGGGAGAGGGGACCCCTGGGTGAGGGACATCACCTTGTTGAGCCTCAGTGTCCTCACCTGTAAAATGGAGGCAATAATGCACCCTGCCCCACACGTGGGGGCCAGCCATGCAGACTCAGGAAGAGAGCTGTAACGTGACAGCAACAATGCTGAGAATTGCCATACTGTTACAGCAGAAGGAGCGCCCATCACTAAGGGCCCCTCTGGACCTGGAGCACCCACAGCCCGAGTCCCGAAGCCTGTGCAGGCCTGGGGGGTGTCCAGCATCTCCTCTCCCCTCCTCCCCAGAGCAGGCTAAGGGGTGGAGCCTGCCGGGGAACCTGGAGAAAGGTACCTCCCTCCCTTGAAGGAGGAGAGGGCTGGGGCCGAGGGGCAGCTTGGGCCCCCCAGAGCAGAAGAAGGCAGGGAAAGTCAAAACTTGGGTTTGGGATCCCACGGGGGTTCCTAGCAAAGGAAGCTGGAACCCAGGGTGGGGGGGCGGCTTGTCGCTAAAGGAGGCACCAAGATGCAAGAGCACACCTGGACTTGCTGTCCCCGATCACTCACAGCCCCCAGGGAGCTTGCTGGGCGGCCACGGAGCATGTGACACGTGGGGAACATGAGACCCAGGAGAGCCAAGGGCTCTTGCCCCGGGTCGCACAGCAGATCAGAAGCCAGCTCAGACTAGCCCCCCAGGCCCACCTGCCCCCTGCTTCCTCCTACCCCAGGGGCAGGCACCTCCTACCACTGGCTTTCCCCCCACATTTCCAACTTTCGGGACTGGAGATGCATCTTTAACTGAGTTAGTCTACGAAAGCACTTGGAGCTGTGCCCGGCGCATTGTGCGTGCGCAGTAAATATTAGCGGCTTTTATTACCTCGTGATCAATGTGCACAGAGCGTCGGGAGGTGTCTGGTTCTTTGTTTTCCACTAAAGTGTTACCTCTGTACGTCCCTGATGCTGAGAGGCACCTTTCCATTTTTCCACATTTTGACACCTCCGATGCCGGGGGCTCCTACAGCTGTAACTGACCCTTTTTTTCTCAGTGGTACGTGAAACAGCGAGTCCTCTCATACAATGTGTCTTACTCCAAGAAAGTGCAGTAGAGCAAACAGCTTGTTTTGCATCAACTCAAATTCTACAAGTAAGTCCTGAGTCCTACCTGGCACCAGAGGAAGATGGGGTCAGGGAGGAGGTGCAGGTGGAAAAGAGGACCCCCCCAGGAAGGGTGCTGTGCTCTTGGCGAGATGAGGGAGACAACTCCTTAGCCCACCCGCGGGACTCAGCGCTCTGGCCCTCCTCTCTCCATACCTGCCCGGGCGGCCCGTCCATCCCGGGCTCCACACATCCAGACAGCTTACTCCTGCCAGACCTGGACACGTCGGCTCCCTCACATTAGCTCTGCACAGAGCTCTGCTCTCTTAGCCCGAGGCACCTGCTTCTCCTGCTCCTCTTCCCAACTCCCTCTCTTCCTTCAGGGCCTGGCTAGATGCCACCTCTTCCAGGAAGCCTTCCTTGACTGTTTCCCCAGGCCTCCCCGCCCCAACCTAGTTTAGGGGGAGGCTCCTCCTCCATGTCCCCATGGCCTTTTGTCCTGCCCCACCCCCCATGGTGGCTACTCATTAAGACAGACACTCATCACCTTTGACTCCATTCTTGTGCTCAAACATCTATTCAGTGTCCACTGAGTGTCCCCATGAGCCAGGCTCCAGGCCAGTTGCTGAGGAGGGAGTGGCAGTTGTTCTAGCCCTGCCCAGGGAGAGCTCACGTCCCATAACCTGTGATCCTTAACCTGTGTGGTGCGTGCACTGGTTTGGGAGTCTCTGAAAGCTGTGCATACCAGGACGGCCGGGCTGGCAAGTCCTGGGCCCAGGACACTTAGCCCAGACCATGAGAGCCCCCGAGAGCAGCACCTGCTCGCCAGGCACAGAGCAGCTGCTTGTTGGATGGATGGGAGGAAGAGCAGATGGACCAGGTCACTTCTTGGTGACTGTGCTCACACGGGGAGGAGGTGAAGGTCCTGGCACCTACTGTGCTTGGCAGGGCAGGGACTTGTGCCCTCCATGCTGAGCCCTGGCCCTTGAAGCGAGGCCACCTCTAACCCTGAGCCATCCCTGCTGGCCTGGCACAGGACGAGTTCCCCAGGCACCTGCAGGTCAGGAGCTTCCAGACAGGTGGGCACCACCTAATTACCACCATTCCTTGAACCCGTGCCCCACGCCTGCCCCTGAAACCTCCAAACGACCCCCTGCTATGGTCGGATTCACTTGGCAGATGGGAAAATGAAGCTCGGAGAGCAGAGGACCCCTCCCTTCCCAGGGTTGGGCCAACCCTTGAACCCAGGGCCAGTGGCTGGAAGCACACAGGCTGCTCACTGTCCACAACGTTCTTCCCTGTCTGGAGCATGACTAGGGGTTTGAGGGACGAAGCTCTGTGTCAGCAAGTGAGGCCCCGTCAGGCCCCTCCCAGAGCCCATCAGGAGACACCTTGCCCCAAGCAGCTCTGAGCAACGTCCTCCAACTGGAGAACATTAAGGTCCCCAGCTGGCAAGGCAGAGCGGCCAGCCATGTGTCCCCCATGTCTCCAGGACCCTCACCCTCCCGTGCATCTGCTTCCACCCAAGCCCCCAGCCCCTGGAGGGAAGGCAGAGAGGGAAAAGAGGAGAGAGAGGCTTGAGAAAGCCACAGCCCCCACCCCTGAGGCGCAGGGGATGATGGAGTTGGAGATGAAACGGGCCACTCAGCGGCGGAGAATTAGTCTTCTGAGATCACCCGAAACACAGACTACTGTTCACTTTTATAGGCTGCTGTTTACGTGGCTCGCAAAGGAATTTGCCCAAGATAATAAGGGGGGCTCCGGGCGGCAGGCAGCCCACTGGAGCACGCGGTGGGGCTGGAGCTCATTAACGGGCCTCTGGCCGTGGCAGGGCTGGGTGCGCACCCCGGGGTCTGCAGCAGGGCAGGGAAGGCACGCAGGGCCCCCACATCCCAGGACAAGGAGTGGGGACGCTGGGAAGGTATCCCAGGCAGTGGGCATGAGAGGAGCCAGAGGTCCTGGGTTCAAGGTCCCCTCTGCCACTAACTGCTCATGTGAGCCTCCAGTTGGAGGGACAAGGCTGCACTCTGCATGACCTGCCACCCCCCAGTGGGGGCCCACAGTCAGTGGCTTCTCAGGAAGCCCAGCCAAAGACAAGGAGGACAAGATAGGCTCGTGCCAGGGGAGGCAGGAGGGAGGAAGCCCCAAAGGTGCCTCAGTGGAGGGGTAGGGTCTTTCCCCATGGCCTCCTCTGTGTCCCCAGCCTCAGAGGTGGCCATGGGGTCTGGCGGAGGAAAGAAGTACTCAGGAGGAAGGGACACAGCGCCTCGATGCCCTGCTGGGCATCACCCCCTGCCTTCTGCCCTGTTCGCTAGGGGACCCAGGTGGAGGTAGTGCCCAGGGTAGACACCTGGGGTAGATTGAGACTCTACTCCTTATATCAAAGCAGGAAGAAAGTGTCCCTCGGGGGGAGGCCAGGCAAGGACAGATCCAAATGCAAGTGGCCCTGAGCCCCTTGTCTCCTAGGTGCACCCCAGCCAAAGGCAGGGTAGCTGTTCACCTTGACGGAACCACACTGTGGAGCTGTGGATCATGATAATCAGGGGTGGGTGGTGTGCGGGATGGGGTCTAGCAAGGGCTCTCAGGCCCAGAGCTGCGGGGGGGGGCGCAGACCCAGAGCCCCTGGGGGGTGTCCTCCTCACCTCTCTCCAGGAGCACACATCTTCTCTCACCGCGGGGCAAATAGCTCCCACCTGTTTAACTCTGAGGCCCTGGCTCTGGTGGGACTGGGGTGGGGTTCCCAGGGATCCCCTAAAGTGAGGGGCTGGTTGTTCTGCTTGCAATTCTGGGGTCCCAAAGACTTAGGAAGAGGGCCTATTAGCTTGTTCTGTGAGCTCTGAGGAAGAACCCCCCCCCCCCCCCCCCCCCGTCCTGCTAGGGTCTCTCTAATACGTCCCATGCTGGGGAGCACCTGAAGTCTCCTGGGGGATTAGCTGAAGGGGACAAAGGGACAGGGCTTAGAGAGCTGCCCAAGTCCACACCTCCTATGGGCTCCAAGCTGCTCGAGCTCTGGCACTCCTCAGGAAACACCCAGCTCTGGTGGTGGTGGCGGTGGTGGTATCTTCATATGTTTCCAGGGGGATCTTGTTCCTCTGAGATGGCTCACTGAGCCCACCCACACCCAACCAGGTTCTGTCCACCCCTACCCTGAGCCCTCCAGAGAGTCCGCCCTGGGAATAGCACCACCTCCACCACTGCCCCTCCAAAGCCAGTGCTTTACTGGGCTCCCCTCACTCCACTGCCACCGAGCCAGCCACCTGGCTCTGCCCTGTGCCCCCTCATCTGCCTCTAAATCACCACGACCTCATCTCCTCGGCGGCCTCCCTGACACCTCCCAGGCCCGCCAACCCACTCCCCAACACAGCAGCAAAGGATCCCTCTAGAGCTACAGGGCCTCCTGCCCTCCAGACCAGGTCCACTGGGCCCCTCAGCCCAGGGTACCTGCAGGCTCCGCCCCCAACCCTGCCCTGCTCTTTCCACCTGCCTGGTTCCTTTCCTGTTGCCCCCCCAAAACACATTGGTCTCCCTTCAAGCGAGATCTGGCAAATGCTGTTCAACTTAAACATCACCTCCTCCGGGAAGTGGTCTCCTCCGCACTCCTGCCCTGCCTTCACTCATAGCCGCCCCGCTGGACGGGATGGTGAACGCTGTGGGGCAGGGCCCGGCCCAGAGGAGGGCACAGAAAGTGACAGAAGGGAGTCAGTCCTTGGCTTGTCATCCCCGTGGGCCTCTTCCCTCCTTCTCTCCCAGCACACATCTAACCAGGTGACCTCCACCTAAACTCCAAGGAATGCGAGGACAGATGCTTTTCTTTACAGTATCTCATAATAACACCTGACTTGTGAGTCTCTGTTCCCCTCATGACAGTCTAAGCTTCCTGAGGCACAGGGTCACGGCTGAACATCCCAGCTGAGACGGGGACTCTAAGAACTGTCACTGAGCAGACTCAATGCAGCGGGGCTTAGGTTACACATCAGGAAGAACTTCCCAATGAGAATTTAGTTTTCTTTCTGCAATGTTTCTAGAAGTTTCCAAAGTACCAGGAGACACTCCCTGGGATTGTCGAGGCTGACCTCTCTATGGGGTGGTGGGCCTTGAGGACAGCTGAGAAAGGAGCCCCCCCTGGGGAGAACCCGGTTACAGGGTGACTTCCTGCTCCATGCTCCAGGAGAGAAGAATCGTGTCTATTTCTAGATCCTTTCATCGGAGCAACTCCAAACTCAGGCTAATATTCCACCAACACCTCCAGTCTCATGGGTGGGAGCCCCTTGGTTCTGCAGGGGGGAGAGGGGACACTCTAATGAAGGTGGCCACTTGTCCAAGGTCAGCCGGCAAATGAGGAGCGGTGGCAGGACAGGCCCAGGGCACAGTGGCCCAAGGCAGTCCCTAGGAACAGCAATGCCAGCCAGCTGGTTGGCAGTGGGGTCGTGAGCACGGCCCCAACGGGCGCCAGGGCTCTCTCCTCGGGGACGGGATGCCACTGACCAGGCTGGCCCTGGGAAGGACAGCTGGCCACCCTTCCCTTCGTCTGCCTGTCGAGGCTCTTCCACCACTTGGGAGGACTGGGGTTCAAGTCCCAGTTCTGGCTTCCTGACCCTCAGTTTCCTCATCTGTCAAATGGGTTGATTTTCCCTGATGCCAACCTCCCGGAAGGATTGTAGCCAAGAAACGAGAGGTGCGGAGAGATGCTGCTCTGAGTGGAGCCTTGGGCATCTATTCCCCTGGAGGAAGCAGCCCACTAACAAACCTCAGCCAGGCCCTTCTGGTGGCAGCTGGGTGGTCAGATCGTTTTCCTGGGTGGGCAGAGGGATCAGGGCACCAACCCTGCAACAGGCCACAGGCTCCCGTGACAACCACTGTCCTCACAGGTGTACAGTGCTTTACAGTTTGCAAAACACTCTAGGATTTCACTTGACCCTCCTCAGCAGAGGTTACTGTGCTCATTCTGCGGGTGGTCAAGCCCGACCCAGAGAGGAGGACTAACCTCCCCAGAGCCACGCAGCGGGTCCGTGGTCAAGACAAAACTAGGAACAAGGGAGGAGAGAGGGCCAGACCTGAGGGAGGAAGTTGGGAGGGACCCAGGACAGCGAGGCTCTCTCGTCTCAATAGTGAGCACAGGCTTGTCTCAATAGTGAGCACAGGAAAAGCCTCGCCTCTTAGCTGAAGCTTCAGATGAGCCTGGAGCTGGTCACAGGGACAGCCAGTGTGTGTGTGTGTGTGTGCGCGTGCGTGCGAGCCGGGTCACCAAAGTGGTGTGGTGGGAGGTGGTGTTTGACATTGGCCCAGACCCTGGGGCCACCAGCCCTCAGCCGCCTCTGATGCCACGGCGGGGTGGGGGGGGGGGGGGGGGGGGGGTGTAGAAAGCTGGGCTCTGGCTGGTGGCAGCTGGGATATGTGTCCCCAGGGAGCAGCAAAGAGAGTAGGCCCTGAGGCCACATTTCAAACGGATCCCCCAGAAGCCACCTCCCCTTGAGACACGGCAGCACTTGCTGCCTCCTCACCCACAGAGCCTGGCTCAGGCTTCATGCAGTTTGATTCAGCAAATATCCCTAAGCTCCCAACCTGAGCTGCATGGAAGGGCAGGAGCCTGGGCCTGGGGGAAGAGTTAGAGATGGGGGTCAGGAGGGAGCGTGCAAGCAAAGAGGGCTCCTGGTAGACAAGGGACCCGGGGCGGGGGACAAGGCAGGGAGAAAAAGGCAGCTGAGCACTACAGGCTGAATGCTACTGGGACTTTGAGGCACAACCATAGGACATCAGGGGAGGCTTCCTGGAGGAGGGGACATCTGAATAGATTTTGAGGTACATGTAGGATTTCCCTGAGCAAAAGCAAAAGGGTGTGTGTGTGTTGGAGATATTGGTGGAGCCAACAAGATGACACTACAAAGGTCTAGAAATGGGCAGCTAGTGTGGGGCTAGGGTTTGGCAAACCAACAAGCAAGCAGTCCTGATGAGGGGGTGAGTGGGAAAGGAGAACAGGTCAGGCTGGGGATAGCCTTGAACATGTCTAGGGGGTGAGACTGCTCTTGCTAAGAGGATAAGGGGTCAGATCCTAGCAGGACAGAATTTTTTTTTTTTAAATCTGGGATTGGCTTGGGTGCTGACCTGACTGAAACAAAGGAACAGACCACCTGGGAGGCATTGGGAGCCAATGGGATCAGACCTGGGTTCAAATCCTTGCTCTCCTGCTAGCATGCTGTGTGGCTTGAGCACCTACCTCAATCTCTCTGAGCCACAGGACCTGTACGTGAGAATGTGCATCCCTGCCTAGGCTCCCCACCCCCCGGGGGGGTGCTGCTGCAGGAAGTAAGGTTGTACAGTTGGTTGGGAAGGAGCTTTGCAAACTGTAGAGGGCTGGGCTCCCACAACCCAGCACGGTCACTCCAGACAGAACAGGCAGGTTGCAGCCCTGGAGAGTGAGGGGCCATCAAGGCCTGGCCCTGCTGAGTCCCCTTGTGCCACCGCAAACACAAACGGTTCTTTCCCCAAAGACATCTGTCTGGGAGAAATTTAAAATTTAAAATGGGCAGCCCCATTATTTCCTCTCCTCGGTGAGCGAGCCTCCCCATCTTGCCTGCCTGCCGTGGTCCCCTGGCAGCCCGGCCTGGGGCAGCCCCAGGGCTGTCCCTCTGCTCAGCTCCCCATCTCCAGCCCTGCTCTGGCCAGCCCTGGAGCTCTGCCCTCACCACCCTCCCCCTTCCAGCGCACAGCCCTGGGCACCCTCCGAGTCTGCTGCCTCCACTGCCCCTGCAGAGGCAGCACGAAGGGTAGAACGGACAGACCTGGAACCAGGGACCCAGGTTCAAATCTCGGCAGAGCTCCATGGCCTCTAGAGCCTTGCTTTTTCTCGTCTTAAAAGCTGGAGAATCATGATACCCAGTCTTCTCACATGAGACAAAAATGTATTGATCCTTCATTGCATAAGGGGGGCCCTGTTTAAAGTGCGAGGATTTAGAGCACATCCAGGGGATCCACAACCCCGGTCCAGAAGCTCAGGCACCAGGGGGTGGTGCCCGGGGTGGATACTTAGCAAGTGAGTAAGATGCCCATGGCAGAGGTGAGGAAACAGACACTCAGCGAAGGGTGTGATTGGTGAGGGGGCACTAACGGGCTGGTCACCCCGTGCACCAGAGGTCCCCCACCCCCTGCTCACGCGGGTACCTGCTGGCTGGCGGAGGAGCAGGAGGGCCCTCTGCCACAGCGCCCGGCTCCTGCAGGGGTGCTGGCCGCACCCGCACCCCAAGTTCAAGCCTCTTCCAGAGGAGGAGGAGAGGAAGGCGCCGCCTCGCCCCAGGCCTCTGCAAGTCTCGCGGGGTGCACCCCAAACTCCAGCCTGGAGCTGAGCGGCCACCACCGCGCCCACCGCGCGGGCCCCACGGCCCCACGGCCCACGGCCCCGGCCCGCGCGTACCTGCGGCTTGTCACGCGGCCGGTCCTCAAGTTGGGAAGCGCCGCCCATGGTCTTCCACCGGTCGTTGACCATCTTCCGGCCGGACTGGCGGGGGCGCCCGGCGAGGCGCGCCGCTGCGGAGCGCACAGACGCCGCGGTGGGCGCGGGCGCGGGCGCGGGCTCGGGCTGGGGGCGCGTCCTTCCCGCCAGGTCCCCGCCTCGGGGCCCCGCGCCCGGGGGTCGGGGCCGGGGCCGGGGCGGGGGCCGGGGCCGGCGGGCGTGCGTGCGTGCGCGGGGGAGCGCGGGGGAGCGCGGGGGAGCGCGGGTGCGCGGGTGCGGACGGGCTGCGCGGGCTGCGCGGGGTGCGCGGCTGGGAGCGGGAGCGGGAGCGCGAGGGCGAGAGCAGCCCGCCCGCCCGCCCGCCGCTCTGGCTGCGCGCCGTCCCCGCTCCCCGCTCCCCGCTCCCCGCTCCCGCGCCTCCCCCTGCGCGCTCCTCTCCCTCCTCCCTCCTCCCTCCTCCCTCCTCCCTCCCTCCTTCCTTCTCAATCTCCGTGTCTTTTTTGTCTCGGACTCTCTTTGCCTTTTATTGCTCCCCCGGCCGCCCGCCCGCCCCCACACGCACGTCCACACACCGCGGCCGGCGATGGCCCAACTCCACCGCCGGGAAGGCCCAGATCAAGGGGCACAACCCGCCCCAGGCCCAGGCCCCGGCCCCCGGGCCAGCACGGAGGGCGGCAAAGCGCCGCGGACAGCCCGCCTCCCGCCGGCTCCCCGAGGGCCCTGGGTGCCCCGCGGCGCCTCCGCACAAACTTCCTCCCCGGCCCGACCCGCGCCGACTCCCGGTGCGCGGGGGGCGCGGCGCCGGGCGGGCCCAGGGGCGTCCCTGCCGGGGCGTCGGGCGCCTCCCGGAGCGGCGCGGGCGCGGGCGCGGGCGGGGCCGGGGGCGGGGGCGGGGCCGGCCTGGGGGCGCCCCCTGCGGGCCTCCGAGGGCTCGGGCCGGGCCCCGCGGGCAGGTGCGCCCCGTCCTGGGGTCGCCAGCCGCTGGGTCCTTCCCCTCTGGATCCCGACCAGCGAGGCGCGCCGGGGGGCGCCCCGGCCAGAGTCCGCGACCCTGGACCCTGGCGCCCGCGGGCCCAGGGCCTGCCCGGGGGCGGAAGGGGGTCCCCGGCGCCGGGCCCTGAGGACCGGCCGCTCCGCCCGCGCTCCCCAGGCGCGCCCCGCGCCGTCTCAGCCCCGCCTCCTCCCGTGCGGGGGAGCGGAGGGATCTGTACCGGGAGGGGGCCTCTTAGTCGACCCCTCCCACCAGCAGCACTTTTAAAAGCATTTAATCCGCCCCGCGCAGCCCTCGGAGGTGATCGACAAAGTCCTTAATCCGCGCGGCTAACGAGCTGCTGCCGTGGCTTCCGACCGGGAGGCGCCCCCGCGGCCCGACGCCGCGTCCTGGGCCGGCCGCCCCCTCTCCAGGCCGCCGCGGGAGCCCGGGCGGGGCCCCTCCCCCGCCCCTTCGATCGCCCCTGCTCCCCCCAGCTTCAGAACAGACACCCCCACTTCCCGCCCCCCGCTTCTGCCCAAAGCTGTTTCCCGGCTCCCGGGGAGCCTTGGCCCGCCGCGCTGTTCCCTGGCACCGTCTCCGTCTCTTCCCCGCCGGCTGCCAGTCTGTCGCCCCATCTTCGTCCCTCTCCCAGTGCCTCTTCGAGCCCCGCACAGGCGATGCAGGCCTCCCCCCGGGGGTACGGGCCGTGCCCCGCCGCACAACGGCCGCGCCCCGAGCCGGGGAGGCCGTGGGACCCTGTGCCGCCCCCATCGGAGCGACTGTCACTCACCCGCCAGCAGCTGGGGTCACAACAGGCCAGCTGTGTGTCCACAGCCTCCCCGTCCTTTCAGGGCTGCCTGCTGCCCTACCTGCAGCCCCGCCCCCTTTGCGCCCCACAGGAGGCTGCCTAGGTTGCTGGAGAGGATGCAATAGTCTTGGTCCCCACAGAGGCCCTGATCAGAGTCCAGGCTCTTTCCTCAGGGCACCCTTCCTCCGGGGCTCCTTTCCTGTAGGTTAAAGAGATGGACAGGTGACCTGGGAGGCCATCTGCCTTGGGCAGAGGAGTGTGGTGGAAAGCACAGAGCCCTGGCTTCGGAGCCTGGAGCAAATTACTGCATCTCTCTGAGCCTCAGTTTCTCCATGTGTACCAAAAGGTTAGCCACACCCTCTTAGGAAGAGCTCTTGTGAAGTTCTAAGAGAGGTGCACTGATGCACCTGAGCAGATTTCAAACTTTCCTGCTATGACCTTGGGCAGATTTCCTGTCCTCTCTAGCCTCAATTTCCTCATTGAAGAAATCAGCACCCACCCACCCCCCCCCCTTCTTGCTTCACCTGTGGCATGTGGCTGGGACTGTGTTCCTGATTTAGGGAGAAGATGTAAACTCCAGATGTGTCTCTGTACAGACAAAAGATCACCAGGGGTGGGTGGGGGTAGGTTTGAACTCAGAATCTGAGGGCAGGGTGGTGCTAAGGGCGGTGAACAGAGGTTTGGGGCATGTGCTCTGAGTGGGCGGGGAAAGAACCCTGAAGAAGTGAAGAAGGAGGGCATGAGCCGGGCAGTGAAGGCGTGGTGTCTGGGTCGCTGGGGAAGGAGGCATTCCAGCAAAGGCTTGGCATGGAAAGTGACAGCGGGCTGAGCCCTGAGCCGGGAGGTGTAAGCAGGAGGTCCTTGGCTGGAGGATCTGCTCCCCGGCCTGCAGGACAGTTGGACAGGTAAGCGGGGGCCACCTAGTGGCTCCTCCTGGCACTGCTTGCTGCAGGTTGTCTCACCTGCTGGGGACAGACCCCTCACTTTCCTGCCCTTGGGGGGGGTGCAGTGAGTTCGCGTGTCAAGGAAGATCTTCACCCATCACCCCCTCGGCACCCTAAGAGAAGACTCAGCCCAGGTGTGACTCTGACATGAGCTGCAGGCATTTGCTCACCACTTTACACACAGTCTTCACCTGACACGCTGAGGACATAGCCTCAGGGAGAGAGGGGAGGGCCCCCCTCGGCTCATTGACCCCAAAATCTGTATAAGAAAAATCGAAACTGATTTCACAGAGGAGACAGTGCCTCCCCATGCTCTTTTGAGAAAGCTAGTGTCCTCAGGGATATACCAGGGAGGAGCCCCGGTGGGCTCAACTGGCCAGGGCAGGATCAGGCTCTCTGGGGACCAGCCAGGACCTTGGGGGAACTGGAACTCAGGAGCCCAGGTTGCATGACGTAGACCCAAGGCTGCCCCAGCGCCCCTGCACACTCCCTGAGCATCCACTCACCCTCCTCCCTCTGGCTTGCCAACTCCACATGTTTTTACTTTTCCTGCATGTGGCCACCTAGACATGATGGACCCAACAACAGAAAACTCCTGCCTGGGATGTTTAGTTTAAATTTCAGAAAGATGGGCAGCCCCGGTGGCTCAGCGGTTTAGCGCCACCTGCAGCCCGGGGTGTGATCCTGGAGACCCAGAATCGAGTCCCACGTCGGGCTCCCTGCATGGAACCTGCTTCTCCCTCTGCCTATGTCTCTGCCTCTCTCTCTCTCAGTCTGAATAAATAAATGAATCTTAAAAAAAAATAAACTTCAGAAAGATGGTGATCCATCCGGCTTATCCTTTGGAGCCAGGATGTCAATTGTAGGTCATCAGCAGGCCAGTAACAGCTGCCCTTGGTCAGGGGCCCTCCATAGTCTGATGAAGGGCATGGTCACGTGGGGTCCTGACGCAGAGCACCCCCTTCAGCAGGGAGTGGGTCCTGGGCAGTGAGTCATGGCTGCAATCTGAGCATCACCTCTATACTCAGCTCTGTGCTAAGCACGCTTCTCAGCCACCCTCATACGTGGGAGCTACTGTAACCCCCATTTTATGGATGGGAAAACTGACGCCGGTCAGTTACATAAAATGGCATCATGACTAGATGCCACTCAGCATTTTCCGTGCGCTGAGTACCATTCATTCGCAATATTTCTTATTTCACGTAATCCTTCCCAAAAACCTACAGGTGTTAGCATTTTATATCACCGTTTTGTAGATGAAGCCCCTGAAGGTCAGAGAGGTTAAATAACTTGGTCAAGATGACCCAGCAACTGATGGGGTTGGGATTGGAACTCGGGTCTCGACACTGCCACCCCTCTCTGTCACTGGCTTCCATCCTCTTCATCAGGGAGAGCTGGCCTGAGATACCCAGTGATGTCCTGGCAGCCGCTCTGCGAACGTGGGCCGAATGTCAAATGTGCTTGGCTCGTGGGGCCTGGGGGGCCCGCCTGGCCAGGAGGTCGGGACCCCTGGCCCTCATCCATGCAGCCTCTGCCCTGCACTGCCAGGGGCACTGGGCTCTTGCTGTAAAGCTGTTTCAACTTAACTCTGACAGTCACATTTATCATTAAAAATAAATTTATCTTGGCTTCCCGTGGCATGGAAAGCTACTGTGCAGTGATTCAATGGGCTTGTCACCCCTCACGGTTAGGCACGGGGAGCTGAACAACTGGATGGTCTCCAACGCAAGCTCCTCATTTTCTGCGGCTGGAGCCAGAAATGTACAGTGGGCTGACATTTAATTTAGAATCCAACATACCTTGACATAAACCTATAATACAAAGACGGGGCGGGGGTGGGGGCTGCCAAGCCCGGCGGGGTGTGGGTGTGGGGGGGGAGTCCAAGTGACAGGGTGGATTTCTTTCTTTTTATTTTATATTTTGCTTTGTCAACACTGAGTGCTGATGACAGTCTAGAGGCCGCCATCAAAGGCGAAAATTAGCATGGAGCGTGTGTGTGTGTGTGTGTGTGTGTGTGCGCGCAAACGCACGCTTTTGTGTGGATGCACTGTGCAGGGGCGGTGGGACTGCGTCCTGAGTCCGCTGGGGTGCCTCGTGTGTCATCCTTCGGCCCGTTGGTCAGATATAACCGGAGAAAACCTGAGCTGAGGCCAAGTCCTCGGGGCTAGGACTGGGGCCCCGGAGCAGACTGACTCAGTCATCATGGGCAAGAGGGCACCTGCTCCTTTGTCTTTGTGCCCCGGCCCCCGCCCCAGATCCTCTGACACATACTTAGTGCTCAATAAATATAAAGCAGTCAAGGACGATGTTATTTTAAAAGCTAGAAGCAGGGGTCTGGTTTTTTTATGCAGCAGAACATCCTGATAGACTATTTGGGTGTGAAAAGCGGAGGCTTAAGGCAGGCCAGGGAGGGGAGGGCAGGTCACAGGAGGGAAGCCTGAAACCCGGGAGAAGCGGGAGAAGCCTGGTGGTGCTTTCTGCAAAAAAGCTCTCCGATGGAAGGGGAGGGGTGGAGGGGAAGAAGGAAGAGAGGCCATGTGGGGGCCGGGGTGGGAGTTAGACTGGCCTGGAACAGGAGGACTGTGCTCCTGCAGAGAGGTTTCAGTGTTGGGCTGTACAAGAATCCCATGTGTTACCCTCTGTCTCCGGGGAAGACCGCTCCGCTCAACAGCCTTGTGTCTGAGATGCTTTGGGGAAATGGAAGGGGGGGGGCCCACCCCACGCTGAAGTCACTGCAAGGCAGGGTGAAGGGTCCAGCTGCATGAGGGGAGGGCAGGGGTGCTGGGGAGGCCCAGAATTCAGCCCAAGTAGGAAATCTGCCCAGCAGGTGAGCTGGGCTTGAGCCATTTCAATTTTCATTTTACTGCACTCACAATAGCGATCATTTTGCTGAAAGCCAGGCACCACGCAGGCCACCTGGATTTCCTCGCGGAAATCCTCACAAGAACCTAAGAGGCAGCTGTTGTGATTTATGATCTGCCTTTCACAGATAAAGAAACAACTGAAGGTCAAGTACCTTGCTCAAGGTTATACAGCTCACCCTCTTGAAGGGGAGCTGTGCCATCTGACTCCACTTCTCCAGAACGCACAGCTGCAGAATTTGGGGACCTCAACACAGCTCTCACTTGGGTTACAGATGGTTATGCAGGATAAAAGGAACCGGGTGTGGAAAACAAAAATATTGTACGTTTGGAACAGCAGCAGCCACGTCCCAACCTCCAAATGACCAGACTTTCGAAAACGGTGGGCTGTATTTTCTTTCTTCATTTTTTAAAGGGTTGTTTGTTTGTTTATTGATTGATTGATTGATTGATTGATTGATTTAAGAGGTGGGGAGCATGAGTGAGGGCTGGGGAGAGCAGAAGCAGTCTCCCCACTGAGCAAGGAGCCCGATGCGGGGCTGGATCCCAGGCCCCTGAGACCATGACCTGTGTCGAAGGTAGACACTCAACTGTTTGAGCCTCCCAGGCACCCCAATGTGCCTCATTTTCATACATCTTTCCTATGCCATGCACTATGCCGCAAGGGGCTGCATACACACCCGAGTCCCTGGTGTGCTAACCTTGGGGTGATAGTAGTCGTTATTTCTGCCAACTTACTTATGGTGGTGTGTTTCCTGGCGTGCTCTGTGATTTTGGATTGGGCATCTCATCTCTGTCAGAGCTTTATCATGGGAATCCCGCATGTTCTGGGTTGCCAGTTCATCCTTCCCTAAATTTGCTCTTATTTCTCGGAGGCGTCCGAAGACACTCCAAACCGAGGGCCACGTTCAGGGTTCGTCTTGCACATGGAATAAATGCAAACCAAATCTTCATGAGAACAGGCCTGCAGGTGTTCCTTATAGCGAGGCTATATAGCAGAGGCTCCCCCGTCAGGTGGCTTCTTTCCTTGTCTGCACCCAGGTTCCCTGCCCCCTTTCTGAGTCTGGCTTTTGGTTACTACCCTCTTTTTCGTTTTAGCTAAACATCTAAAAGGACATTTGTGATATCATATTCAACATTGTAGGCTTTTGGTGGTAGGTGTCTAGTCTATCATCTCACTGACAATA